CGTTCAACAGACGACGTGTTTACAATTACTCATGGTAATGAAAGGACACATCAATGCAAAACTTACCCAGACTCCTCGTAAGTTTGATACTTCGGTGGAGCGATTTGATTCTTGGACAAAACCTCATTCAGAAAAGATTTGGGACTTTGCACCGTCGGATGAACTTTCACCCACTGAAAACAAAAATAATCAGTGTTTTAATCTGAATATTCATTCTGGCTCATGTTACATCAGCTCCTGCACAGAAACATAGTCACTGGCACTTATATAACGCTGGTTGATATAGGGACCGTGCAATCCGGAAGCACAACTCACAATATCAATATCAGACTGGGGGTAGTTAGCATATGGGGCAAATTACGACCCCAATCTCTCTACCTCATTGAGGCGTAGAGATTAAGAACCACAGACCTAGCAAATCTCTGACATGCGTACGCATACCTACACACCCGCACGCACATGCACAAACGCAGCGCTGGTACACACGCACACCCATCTGTACAACCACCCTAGTAAAGAAAGTCCCTAAAGCTCCTTTTGTGCCATCGTGTCAGAGTAGCGAGGCATGGAAAGATAGAGGAAACAGAAATTGAAAAAGGAAGGCAGATATTTTTGAGCACCAAAAATCGAACAATTTCCTTTACATATGAAAAGTTGCAAAATAACCAACCGTCGTACAGGGTGATCTCCACGGATTGCTCATCCGGTGGGCAGATAGCCGCTTAGCTAATTTCGAAAATACCATGAGTACTGGGGCAACCTAAAGGTTCAACAGTCTGGTCCAATGAGGTGTAATGTGCGCTTAATGCGATTTTGGTACGCATTTTAGTGTACACATCACTTCACATCCTTAAAGAAAGGGGTTACCGTAGTTAAGAAACAAAGATGTTTAAATTCAATGCAGTGCAATGCATTGTCGTACTGCTCTGATTCATTCGGTGCCATTCGTGGAACTAGTAGTTTCCTTTACCTGTCCAGAGCTTTTGGAGGCTCCAGACAAAACGAGGGCCTAAAGGACGAACGAGTACCACGAAGTCGCACTTTTACGATGGCAGCGCCTTAACCCGTATCGTTGTCAATCACAAGTTCTCCGATCAGGTCTCAGGAAACACATCTGACCCCTTCAACACTCACCAAAGGTCATTTTTAAACCATTGCCAGACAAGGGGGCCAAACAGCTCACCTCTTGGTCACCAACTTTTGAAATAAGATAGAGGACCTGGAAAAAACTAACGTGTTGAGATAAAGATCAACCTTTTGTTCAGTATAATCGGTAGCCATCCAGGTCCCCCTATGACAACACGTCGTCTTACCAAAGAAGACACCAAATGCTCTCACTGGTATCATTTCCACACAATTCAAAAATATCGTACGACGCACCGTCTCATTTGCCGTCTTTTGTTTCTGGAAATGTACAGGTTTTGGGCCAGGGTCAATTGACAGGCCTTCGAGGTCACGGAAACACCACTGCTGAAATGCCAAATAGAGTACGTGATACATGGCCCCGCTACCGGCAGGAGGCTGCGGGACAAGGTCAGGGGACAGGGAGACAATCAACGCATTGATCGTTTGTAAACCATCGAACTGTCGCTGTGTTCCTATTGAGACAATATGCGGCCTCTGAGGTCGAGCTCGGTAGTTCCGGCCACGTATATTATGCATTGCGCAGCAACACATCACGCATGTGTTTGGCTTATATTATATATATATATATATATATATATATAATTATATATATATATATATATATATAATAAGGCAATATATACATATATTATAGATATAGATATCCCTTCCTCTCCCTCTCCCTCTCACTCTCCTCCCTCTTCCCTCAAATCCCTCTCTCCCTCTCGCCATCTTACCTCTCCCTCTCCCTCTCGCCGCTCCCTCTCCTCTCCCCTCCTCTCGCCTCTCCCTCGCCCCCCGCTCCTCTCCCTCTCCCTCTCCCTCTCCCTCTCCCTCTCCCTCCCCTCTCCCTCTTCCCTCTCCCTCTCCCTCTCCCTCTCCCTCTCCCTCTCTCCCTCTCCCTCTCCAGCTCCCTCTCCCTCTCCCATCCCCTCTCCATCTCCCTCCCCTCCCTCTCCCTCTCCCTCGCCGCGCGCCGCTCTCTCTCTCTCTCTCCCTCCCGCCCTCTCTCTCTCTCTCTCTCTCTCTCTCTCTCTCTCTCTCTCTCTCTCTCTCTCTCTCTCTCTTCTCTCTCTCTCTCTTAATAATGAGGTTAAATATTCCCCCTCTCTGTTGTATGATGAACAACCACGTTGTGACGCGACAAAAAAAAAACATTCAACGCAACATGACCAACTTTTTCACATTCCTTATATCTAAAGCCATGTGAAGGGCCTTGGCCACTTTAAACGAGATCACAGTGCTACCATGGATTGCAATAATTATCATAATGCAGATGTCACGCAATGAAGAGCAATGTTGAACGAGTGCACTTTAGCTATGACAATAGACACATTTTCAACTGCAATTGAATACTGCAGCTGTAGAATATTGTAGTTGAATATTGCAGGTATGTATAAATATGCAGATACATATATATAATATATATATATATATATATATATATATATATATATAATTGATTGATTGATTGCCACAGGTGATGGCACGGCACCTCTGGTGCTGGATAATACAGGTACTAAGAAGTCCACGCCATGACCTTCCTTGACCTTTGGAAGATCAGTGATGTGAGTATGCGAGTAGCCTTTGACTGAGCCCACTGAAAAATAATCACGAATAAAACACCTCTTCACCAACCACGGCCAAAACAGCAGCCAGTGGTACTTTCCAGCTTTGAATCTTCTGACCCAGCGTGACCTCGGGCCAACAAATTCACTGCAAGTGGTCGCGTGATATGCGCAGAAATAATGCTGACGCGCTGTACCGTAATAAGACATTCTTTCGGGTGTCGGTGTCAAAAAACAGCTAAGCCATCCTTATTGCCAAAAAGTGAAATGTGCTGCTGATCTGGGGAGAAAAGAGCTTGAAAATGCCCTTCACAAATTTCTCACAGGTCACGGCAGGAGCTACGCAATCTTGTAAACTTGCCATGTCTGGTCCGAAAAAACGAGGTCAAAGCACGCACTGTCGCATGCAATTAGTTTCCGTGGTCTGTGCAGAGTAAAACTGGTTGAAACCAAAGTGCGGTTCGACCAATTCACAAACCGTCTTTGATCCTGATGTCTAACATCGCCGCACTTAAAAAACTGACACACAGGTGTGTCATTTCTGCGAAGCAACGAATATTTACCAGCAATATTTCGGTGGAGGGGGGGGTCCATGACCTGACCGGCTTTGGACTACGACACAGAGTGTTTTTCTTACATTGCGATACAGTGGACGAGATTTTTTCAAACCAGCTTTTGCGACAAAATCCAGCTCGGTGAATGTGAGACTTCAAATACGGAGTTGGCAGTTGACAACACTGCTGCGCATCTTGCAACCATTGCTAATACTTTGTGGCATCGGTTTGATGAAGTTACCTTCCGACGAGTAAATGCTCCAAAAATCGCGGGCAAAAGAAGCACGCGAAGGGCGTGGGTATGGTCGATTCGGCTCCGCCACTGGCAAAAAGCTCGAAACTGGATGCTCCATCACATATTGTTGAAATATTGGGGAGTAAGTGAAACATTGCGAGACGTGTTCTCCGTACAAATTGCGGCTACAAAATAGGTATGCGACGATAAATTCTTTGCGCATGACCTATTGGTGTTAGGACTATACTTCGTACAAGCAAAACAGGGCTTGTGCTCCTGCTTATTGTTTCCGTTACCATGCCATTGGAGTTTTTGTGCTGACTATAACTGAACTTCAATATGCTAGGAGATTCTGAAAAAGCACGTTATTATTAAAACATGTGTAATGTTCTCAAAATACAGCATGGCACGGATTTAAGACTTTGTATCATACTATCACAATACCATGCCAACATGGCATGTCACATCAAGGCCATTCCACAAGGCTTTTGGGAAATGCTCGTGGGCCACACACGTCTACTTGGCACGGACTCGGTGACATTTTGATAAAAGCCTATGCAACTAGTCTTGTAAATATCATTAGAATTGTGCCAATAAGGTGCAAATTCCTTGCGCGTAGTTCTGTACTCGACGACTAAATATTAGCGACTGACAAGTTGAAAGAGGAAGATCGTTTGTTTACACGAATGATTTGCCTTGCATATTCACACAACTTCGAACACTCCGCGGCGTCATACAATCATGCATGTCCATCTCATTGCAAACAAAAACTTGTTTTGATTTCGAATTTTTGCACCTCATGGTTCAGTCGGACAGCACTTAGGGGTTTGGCCCGTGCTGTTGACGTCCAAATGGGACCATCTGTGTCAGCTTCTCATTATATGGGATTCTCTCTGGACACGAGCTCACCTGTCTGTCTCTTGCCACCTCCCTTGTTATCAAACCCAGTGAACCGGAAGGGTCGCTTCGTTCCTTCGGCTATCTCGTCGCAGCCAAGCTGAACAGTTAATGTTCATTCAATTCGAAAGTGGTAAACCGAAATGAGATTGTTCTTAGTTGATTGTTTTTCACACAACCCTGCATTTATAAAAACGACGAGCTGAGGAAATGATAACTCAGAAGTTCCTCACAACTGCGCGGACTTCACGGCGGGAATATTTCAGCCTATCCATTATAACCCAGCTACCAGGCTCAAGCTCTCTATAGTAAACCGAATCATCCACGATGTAGGAACAAAGCGTACTGTTACAGCCGTCCCAGCAACCACTGCCAAAGCTCTGTGAATGTTCTTTCCATGGGTAGCGACCAGGCGAAAAGCGTTGGTGAGATCGCCGTTACAACACTTGGAGAATTAACTCTAGGCGTTACGTCAAACTGTTATTGTCAGTTTACACAACGCTATTTCTCTCAGCTCCAGACCAGGTCAATGTGACCGTGCCATCCGTACGGCTTGGAGCGAGGAGCGTTGAGACTTCGGGCCGCGTTGACGACAATGGCCATTTTCCGTGTCATTCCTACCCTGTTGCGACAGGCATCCGTAGACGATGCAACTGCGAGGTTCTTGCTGTCGGAGCGCTCCCGAATTTTACTTAGAAAGTCTTGAGCGGCCGATTCTCTCGCGTCCTTCTTTCGGCTGCCGCGCCCTCTGCCCACATGTTCGTAGCCGTCAGCTTCCACGGTCGCTACAAACATTCCGGAACCTGAAAATGTGAAACAAAACAATAATGAGTTTCTGGTTCGTCTGCTACTTGAAGTTTTTCACTACTGCGCGGATATCATTGTGGGAGTATTTCAGCCTTTCCATTTAACTCACCTAACAGGACTCATCCTTTTTACATACAGCCTTCGATGCCGAAGACGCACCAACTAAATATGCTCGGTCACACTGGACAGTGAGTGTCCGTTACCTACCGAAATCCCACGAAAATCCAGGAACAGGGAGATCGTAAAGGGAATAGTACAATTTGAGCCCCCACCTGCATGAAAACGCATTACTGGACTCGTACATACGACGGTAGTGATTGTCTTATACCTCACAGAAAAACTAGGAAAGTGGAGATATAAATTCAAAATTGCCTGCCTATGATTCGTCTCAATTTTTCAGGGTTTTTTAAACAGCGAGCTACAGTTTTTATGGGTCATCACCATGCAGGGGATTAAACAAGAAGCAATTGTCAGCAATTACTGTTGTCGCGCGCATCACTATCACACACCACAATACTCGTTGGCGCCACCTATCGGTGACCGCACCCGTTTGGGTGTTGACCTTGCACCGCTACACTACGATACAGCGTATATCTAAGAATTAGAATGAGCGCAAAATACGTGAACATGGAAACGAATTTAATCAAACAGGTATCATCCATCACGGTTCATTCAAACACCCCATCGAGTTCACGTGTAGACATATATGACACCTCATGCATCAATTAGACGTAAAACGGTTTCAATTCAACAGGCATTGCTCATCGCGCGTCAAGCATCATTCATACTGTAAACGATTTTGAGCTAGCATCAGACATCAAGGCACACATCATGTTCGCATAATCGGCCATGATTAGCCCTGTACGTCAAGGCTTTGTAGACGATTTTTGCTACAAAAAAATCATCTTGTTTTCCCGTGTGGGTGGTCCTGCGCCCTGTGGATCGCTTCGAGCTCTGAAAGGGGCATAGGGTCCGTGCCTCTCTAGATTTCAGCCCGAACGTTATTGGCCTAAAAGTGGTCGCCAAAAGAGGCGTTTCCTGTTTTGTTTTTAGCGTTTCGCGGGCTTTAATCATACCTCAAACACGTAGGGCGCGTCATAAAACATGTCCCCGCACGTTTTTCATAGTGTTTACAATCAATTTCGTAAACCACTTATTTTTTCACCTCTTTTCGTGCCTTTTAGAGAATATGCAACCAGTTCTTTAGGTTTGTTCCTACCCATCTGTGGGATACCAGAGACTTTTTAAAAGAGGCTCCCAATCATTCACAGGTAGAAGGGTAAGCAGAGGGCAGCATGTTCCTCAGTGTATATGTCGTCAACTTACATGGCAACGCCGTGAAAACTAATGCACACAAACATCGCCATGAAATTGATGCTTTCCATCTATTAAAACAGAATATCTGCGGTCCTTTAGAACAGCGTCTTGATAAAGTTTTCTCGTTCGAATACTATCGAAAGCAATTGGGCACACCAATAGGGATCACATGCGCTCCTGCTCTGGTGATAATATTTTTAGACCACTCGATCATGAATGCCCTGGCCGCCAGCCCATTGAAACCAACTATCTACGCTAGATACATCGATGATTTTGCTTGAGTGTGGAGGCACGGATTGTGCCCTTGAATAATTTTCAGAGCTCATGAACAAGCATCCAAATCTAGCCTTTACGTTAAAGCACACAAGGGTCGGAAGGGTGGCCCCATATTTTGATACGCAGGTGACGGTGGAAAGAAGGAACAACCGCACAACGTTACAAACGGGGCTCTTTATCAAGACCCCCAACGATAGGTATAGTTCTGCGCCGTGAATCTGCGCATCCAACTTCCATTAAGCACAACAAAATTCGTAGCATGTTCCGTATGGCCCTTAACAGCTCATCGAGTAGTGAAAATGAAATCAAGAGCGTAAACAAAATATGGACTTCGCTGTCGGTCAACGGACATCCTCCGCGACTTTAGGTAGAGTGCTACAAGAAGTAAAATAAATTTAGAGCGCGTAGGGGGATGGGTGGTAGGAGACGGGGACGCGCCCTATCGGACAACGAATTCTTAACGCTCCCGTAGATAGACGAGCACTTGGTTTGGAAAACCAAAGATATCGTTAGAAAATGGAAACTGCGCGTACGAATAGCATGGAAGAACGATAATACGCTAAGATAGTCTCTGACGAAATCTCCTGTCTCGATGCCAGAGTGCCCGGTTGGCAACCCATGTCATCTATGCAAGTCTGGGTTTCAAGGTGCTGCAAAAAAAATGTGGCTTACGAAACCAAGTGTAAACTATGTGAAAAACATGAGAGCGACATAGTCTATGCCTGGGAGTCCACGCGTTCTATTCGTTTGAGATACAATGAACACCTGCAAGACGCTAAAAACAAATCACGAATCACAAATACCCCATTCGACGACCATTTTTGGACAAACACGCTGTTGCTGAAATCCCGGGAGGTATGGACCCTTTGCCCCTTTCGGAGCTCAAAGCCATCTACAGAGCACAGGACCACCCAGACATGAAAATAAGTGAATCTATTCTAATAAAAAGTCGGCGACCAAACTTTAACGCACAGAGCTCATTATGGCCCATTCTGCGAACGTGATGTGTCTTGATGCGTGATGCTTGCCAGTCACAAATCGTTTACATGCATAAGTGACGCCTGACGCACGACGAGCGATGCCCGTTTGATCGAAGTCGTTTGCATGTATTATTGATGCGTGAGGTACGATGTCTGTCTACACTTGAACTCCTTGGATGTTTGAATGAAGCGCGATGCATGTCTTTACTTGCATTCGTTTCCCTGTTCATGTATTTTTTGCGTATTTCGATTCTTAGATATGCACTGTATCGTAGTAGTGACCGGCAATTGCTCCTTGTTTAATCCCCTGAATGTTGGTGACCTGTAAAAGGTGTGGCTCGCTGTTTAAAAAAACAATGGAAAATTGCGTACGATAACAGACAGGCAATTCTGAATTTACTTTTCCTAGTCGATTCGATAGGCATATTGCCGAAAAATCAACGCATCTACATCTCCATTGTCCTGGCTTTCAACGAGGAATAAGACTCTTACTACCGTCTTATCTACGTGCATAATGTTTTTCGCAAATGCACGCAACAACGCGCGCAACTACTGGACTCCTTGCACAAAAGGAATATCAGGCTTTCAGTTGTTCAGTGATATATATATATATATATATATATATATATATATATATATATATATATATATTCAAGCCACTGTCTCAATGTCAGCCATAGCTTTACTGCCTCTTTTTACTCAGCGAGAGTTTTGTTACTTGCACTGTAAACAGAAAGGAAGCTAAAAAATAAACAAGAATATTAATTTCGAGTCCCAAACAGATTATCAAAATGGCATACTAAGGAGAAGCACGTCGACTCAGACGTTTAAATAAAACAAGGACCCTCAACCAGATGTTTTAGGATCCCATGACAACTAAAGCTATACGCTATTTCCTTAGGGTGCCTCTGAATGTTTGTCTGTCTGTCCCGTTTTGAGTGGCGTCGTCCACGGGCTGTACAGCAGGCCGCTGAACGGTAAAATTTGGGCACGACGAGCGGGCGCACGACGCGGGTTTCCACGGGTAGATTGCGAGCCGCTGTGGCCCAGGGTTCGATCTGGCACGTTTTAGGCCTATCGGTTTTGCATCAGCGACCTGAAAATATGGTCCACGGCGAAGCTGACGAGCAGGCGCATCTCAGTCCCCAGGGGTCGGAGCGACGAGAAACTGGCACATGTAGGTACATAGTTAGATGAGCAACCGCGCGATGTCAGATGCTCGGTAGCAGTTGTCACATGTCACGTGCAAAGGAGCAGTCAAGGTGCATTTGCCAGGCTTTCCAATTTTTCATCTTTTATTACACTGCTCGGCAGCCAAGGCGGGTAGAAGCGCGATACCAATTTCAAAGCGTCGACAAACATACCGTATACAATTATTGTGGCCAACGCAAGTTTGAGCGACGCACGACCGCACCGATAATCGTCGGGCAAGCCGGCAATTTCGGCATTTCGAAAAAGCGGTGTCGAATGCAAAACACTGTCGTCGAAACTGCAGCCAGAGTCGTGGCAAAATTTACATCGTTATGCGCTCCAATTCATTGCCTGTATTCACCAGTCCTTTCTTTCTCATCCCGTGCATTGCACCATACAGACATCCACTTCGCCCAAAGGATTGCAATTTCACAGTTTTGTGCCGTCCAAATGCCATCAGTTAACCGCTCTGCCGCTACAGGTGAGTATTTCCAATAAAACGACGAAATCCGCACGACCTTCAACACTGGTTTATGCGCTAAAGAAAGCACCAATAAAATCAACTAGTGCTGAAGCGATGAGGTAAGGATTTAGATGTGACGATTAAACGTAATGCTTGAACCCCTTACGTTCCGAGTCATATAAGCCCAACGTAATGAGCGGAGAAAAACTTGCAAGAGATGCAACGAGTAAACTCATGAAATACAGCTCCTGCAAAACGGAGCCTGCTGCTACCGCAACACAACACGTCCAGTGCCTCACCGGCGTGGGTTTTGGAATCACTGCGGTTTGACGGCACAAACATTGCAGTTGCGTCGAACAAGTAAACTGTGGGTCTGTATCTCTGGAAATATATCAAATGGAGTTCTTCAGGGTTTGCGAAAACCACCTCCCAGCACGGACACACACGTGAAGAGTGTGGGGGAGGAGGCAAGCGGTTTTTGGCCGAATCTCATCAACGCCAGAACCAATTCACCCATGCCGCTAAACGACAAATGGCCTACGGATGACGTGTGTTTTCCATGGCCACGTGCGTCTCTGGTAATCAGCACATCACACCCAGCTCCCCTGGTCGCAGGTCTTGTCGCCCAGGAAGTCCAATGGAAGATGATAGGCGCAATCCAAGACATTTTTAAAAATCGTCCATGGAGCACCGCAGGTCCTTCCATGCGTTTCAAAGGGTCAGTTCCGTCGCTTAGCGAAACAGACCCCCAATAACTTGTTCTCACCCATTGTGTCTGTATACTTTGGTTGCTTTTTCTCTCTTCCCAACAATGCATACAAATGATTTGCACAACTTTCACCCTGAGGTCTTTCACCCATGTTGAAGACAACCCAGAAGATCTTCAACCTCTTCAGATCTGTGGGACAGAACCGAGGTATGGTCACAGCCAGGTAACAGTAAAATGCCCCAATAGACTTATTCAGAAAATACTCGCAGGCTACCGGGGCAATTCATCCACAGCCAATTCAGGATCAGATGTACAGATGGAGATTTAATTGGAAAATACTTATAGCATGTTGGGACAAATCATAAGTCTTATCAGGCCACCTACCTCCATCAATATGCATCAGATATGGCTGTAGTTTGAATACATAATTCTAAACCACTTGCATCTAACAAACTTCACAGGTGTGGACATTTGTCACACCAAAATTGGAGCTTCATATGAGTCAGACATCATCATGTGTACCATTTGCATGTGTTTCAAAGTTATGCTCATGCAGAATGATGCAGCTGAATGGTACTGCACATGCACAGCTGGCATGGCCATAGACATAATTTGTGTGACTACTTCACGAGCATATGATTACACCCACCAGGAATGGTGCTGTAACTATGCTGGCTGTATCCTTTTCCCTTTCCCACATGATGCCCCCCTCCCCAACATCCACCTAGACATCTGTGACTTCTAGTGTCAACCTCCCAGACAATACCCATACAGAGATCCAGACAACTGCATACCCTCTGATGCTTGAGTTTTATTTTTGTACTCCAGCCTTGTTACCACAAAAGGTCTCTGAAGAATCTTTTGTGCCATAAAATGCTATGCCATAACTCAAAGGGATAGCTTGAAGAAAAGCAAGCTTACAAAGACCACCATACCTGGCCAGATATATGGCAGAGTGCTACATGCATTGCTAGTGCCTATTCCAACATTCAAATCAAATAGGTCATTAAGTTTCCCAGAAGTATCTGAAGACTAGCACAATTCCACTGTAGCACCAATATTTATGAAGGGAACCAAAAAATGCCAGCAACTACAAGCCTGTCAGTCTAACCTCACCAGTATATAATATCAACAACAAATTATTACAGCTAGCATTCAGTCATACTTAGATAGGCATCAGCCGATAAATAACAGTCAGCTGTGGTTTTCTTTCCGGTATGTCCAGCTTGGAGAAGTTTAAAGTTCATGGACCATGCTACTAGTCTTAACAATATGGGCAATAGTTAAGATATTGTTTATCTAGATATTAGAAACCAAGACCTTAGATCCCAAGGCCTTTACTTTTTACAAGATACAAAGACTTTTATTTTACTTACAGTGTTTCAAAACTTGCCAGACCAGCACTTTCTCTATCAGTTCAAACTGCATGGCACTGAGGGAAGAATTCTAGGCTGAGCAAGAGCTTCACTGTTACACAGACAACACAGAGTACTGTTTAATGGTGTAAAATCTCAGAGACTACTGGGAGCTTGGTTCCACAGGGTTCAGTGTCAGGCCTTTTCCTCTTTGTCATTGTAAATAATATCAACATAGGATTGACAAGCAAGGTGCTAAGAATTGCTGGTGGTATCAAATTAGTAGGTGTCAAAAAATCCTACCCAGGAAAACCAAATCAACTTGACTTAGACAAACAAGTGAACTGGGCTTCACCGTAGCAGATGTCGTTCAGTGGTGACCAGTGTGAGGTGTCAGATCCTGGAAGTCTTGGCGGTTATGGCATTAGTTATGAAATGGGAGGCCAGGGGACCAAGATAGAAGGCAAATGGTTTTCCTTTGGTGGGATTGGAAGGTTGAAAAGCAGCATAGGACAGTGTGGGTGTACTTTCCTACCTAACGTTGGAAAAAATCATTGTACACCATTCGTCGTGTTTACCGCAATACATATCGTAAATAATCTCAAAACAGGTAGAATCATGCTCCTACCTTCGAATTTTGATAACCTCGATGGCGAGCCCCCAAGCGCCGCAAACACTCGGCAACCCCGACCCCAGGGTGACTGCCACGCTATTGGTGCGTGATGACGACATTTCTGCTTATCAAGGACCATAGAAATGTGCGGCGACCAAGGTAACAATAATAATGCAATGAAATATATTTACTGCGTATCCAAGCAGTCGAGCGGTATTGCACGGGAGCTGAAGATGGAGTTGCACGAAGTGAAATCGTTTAGGGACTTGTTAAAACTGAATTTCGAGACCGAGGACCCAGATGACCTTTTGAGACTTCTCCGCGAAAACGGTCTCATAAGAAAAGTAGGAAAAATGTGCTGTGCAAGAAGGCGCATGGTGGAAGGAGCGTTTGGTCAAGGCATAGTGTTTGGCAAGGCTTGGCGCTGTACCAAGTGCCGAAACATCAAGCGTGTTGTAGACGGCAGCTTTTTCGCCGGTTTACACCTCAGACCGTTTGTCATACTGGAGATGGCCTGCGCGTACGTTGTGGTCGGCGTAAATGAAAGTGCCATGAAGGACTCAATCGGCACCACTCCCAGTAAAAAGATGGTAGTGAACTGGCTTCAGTTCTGTCGAGACGTGATGTCTAAGGATCTAATGCGCGGCCCAAACGTGTCAAAGTTGGGGGGGGACCGGGAAAAGCCATAATTGTCGACGAAACAGCCCTATCAAGGCGAAAATATAATCGTGGGCGACGGGTCCCTGGGGAAACATGTTGGATAATGGGCATTTACGACCCGGAAAACAAAGTTGGAGTTCTCGAGTTCATTCAAAATAGGTCAATGGGAGAGATGATACCGAAAATTCAAAAACATGTAGAGCAAGGTAGCAGGGTAAACACCGATGAGCACCGAAGCTACGGCTCGCTCGAAAGCCTCGGCTACATTCACCGCACAGTAAACCATACCCAAACATTTGTAGCGGACGACGGCACACACACCAACCACGTCGAAGCCTACTTCGGCCGAGTAAAGCGCTTCCTTCGCAAGCGACATGCCACGAGCCTGGAATTAATCCCAGGTTATCTCGATGAGTTCATGTGGAGGGAACGCCACAAGACGTGGCTGTGGGCAGACTTTCTTCACGCTGTCCAACGCCAGTATCGCGTGTAGGTAAGTTTATGAAACAGGCAGACCAGAAAGATCAGAATAGGCCAGAACCAAGCTAACCTAACCTAACCTAACCTAACCTAACCTAACCTACCTTACCTAACCTAACCTAACCTAACCTAACTAAACTTAACTAAACTAAACTAAACTAAACTAAACTAAACTAAACTAAACTAACCTAACCTAACCTAATCTAACCTAACCTAACCTAACCTAACCTAACCTAACCTCCCCACCCTATATCCCCTTCAACCCAGCATCCCATTGGCATCCATGTTCCATGCCATATACCGCTGCCATATAGTGAGCTTTTATTTAGCTGTCATGTTCTCATTTTGCTTTACATTCCCCACCCAATCCCCCTGCAACCCATGGTCCCGTTGGCGTCGAGGATCAAATTTCATGGATTCTTGTTATCTTGGCCCGGTACATTTTTATGGTTCTTGATGCTGCTTGATGCGCAGCAATGTTGAGACCCGAGCAGTAATGGCGCCGGTGTCGCGGGTGCTGTGTGTGTGCGGCGCTCGGGAGCTCACCATCGTAATTATAAAAGAATTGAAATTATTGTAAATAAATAATTATTATAAAAAATTATTATAAAAATTATTATTATATATAATATAAATAAATTATTATAAAAAATTGAAATAATTATAAAAAATTCTTGGTAAGCAGAAATATTGTATTTATGCAACGGCAACGCAGAAACGGCGCTGGGGAGTCCAGGCGGTGCGGTGCGCGCGGCGCTCGGGGGCCCGCCATCGAAGTTATTGAAATTCGAAGGTAGGAGCATGATTCTACCTGTTTTGAGATTATTTACGATATGTCCTGCCTTAAACACGACGAATGGTGCACAATGATTTTTTCTAACGTTAGGTAGGAAAGTACACCCTGACCGCATAGGACTGCTAGCGGCAAGACATTTCTGATACTAGAAATTACGAACAGTAATGTCCATTGCACAAATAGTTATGCTGTAAGAAATATTTATTGGTTTATGCCAGACCACTGCATCCTTTACCTGGCCGCCGACAACACAACCACCATGCAGACGCCCGGACCCCCAGGCGACGCCCCTGTAGCAACAACGACACAGGGGTTTTTACCAAGGCTATCTAACGAGGTAGAACCGTCCGGTCCGAAAAAAGTGGCAAAATAGAGCTTGCTTGAGAAAAGAGGTAGTTTGGAAGCAAAACCTGCATGACGTCAAGTATACCATATTTGATGACGTCAGTGGCACGGAGCCCTGTCACTTAGCCAGCTGACTGTTACACAACCCATCAATTTGAATAGTGGGCACGTCTTGGTGGCGTGCGGCTGGCGGTTACCCGTTGGACTGAGAAGAAATTATCCGTCATTTCGCTATTCGCACACATTTCTGGAATGAGCAGTGAGTCATGGAACAGTTAAGCCTCATCAGAATTTACGATTTTTGCATGTATGATGATATAACACGGGATTATATGCCATGCGGCGTTTGTGGCGCATTGCATTCCATGACCAGGCATGTCGTTAGATAGCCGTAGGCTTGTCTGTGCGGTTTGTGCCTGGTGGCAGAGTTGAACAGCTCAGCTTGCATAATTTACTTTGCCTATAGGTATGGTTATATGAACATTTGCAATCTTGATTTGTAATAGCTCTCGCTCTTCTTATCAGTGATGTGAGTGCAGTAAGGTAAGTACAGTAAAACCCTATGATATTGGCTTTATGATGCTGCTGTCAAGTGTTTCTTTATATCAGGGTTTGTACACATATGCATAATAAAATGTTCACAGACTGATCATTTTAAATGCTGCCAATTGTTCAAGACAAACTGCTCACGAGATCTCTCGTACAAGGCGTAGTCATGGCAACTGGCCACAATCCACTGATATAAGGCGCCAATCAACTGCGACACGCGATGCGCTACAAATGCCGCATGACGTTTTGCCCTAGTTATGTACAACCCACGGAAGAATATAAAATTGTGATGAGGTCGAACTGCATGAAAAAACCGTGGACCACTCATTCAGAGTCCAACCGGGAAGCGCCAGCCGCACGCCCCCAAAACATACTCACCATTCAAACTAGTGGGCTGTGTAACAGTCAGCTGGCTAATTGGGAGGCTTCCGTGCCACTGACGTCATCAAATATGGTATACTTGACGTCATGCAGGCTTTGCTGCCAAACTACCTGTATTCTCACGCAAGCTCGATGTTGCCACTTTTTGATAGTGTTAACCGATACGGATGACACCCCCCTGGTTTTTACCTTCCGGCCGACTATGTTTGCGGAGGGAAGAGCGTCGGCTTAGGTCTGTAATGAGGGCCGGCTAATCAGCTGACGACACGTCGCTGCCAGGCTGGGTAAATCATCTCAATGACAAGTTTGTTGCTGGTCGAAACGTCACTGGTAGAAATGTAAAAAACGAACTTCTTTTACTTCTCACAATATCACAAGGATTTATCAGCCACTTATGATGGCAACATTGAAAACCAAGCAGGTATTCGTAATAACACGTGTCCTTCATCCGACTGATGGCCTCACTGGTACAAATGAATCGGTCATCAGTTGAAAACTATCAGTGGGACACGTTTTTCGGGATGTATTTTCCCGATGCTCACGTCGTTCCGGGAGACTGTTATGGTGTACGTGCATCTACCTACGTACTCGTGGTTTACATTCTTGTGCCATTTGAAAAATAAATGAAGAAAATAAGCTGCGTTTTACCTTCTGCTCATGACGTCACGTGACACGAGTTATGGTCTTCGTTTCGTATCACTGTGGAACCTGATAATGGCAGAAAACCACCTTTCCCAGCAGGCTTCCTCAAGAAACTACTGCAAGAAGGTCCAAGTAATCCATGAACAAACCGCATTCAGGCATGTCCACACTGAGCTGCCAATGGGGCCGGAAAAAGACATGAACTGGCTCAACGTTTTCGGTTACCGGCATTATCGGTCTTTAACAAACATTCCAAAATAGTGTCCATCGGTGCAACCAGTGGTGGACATCATTTTGACATGGTTTAGACGGCAATGGTTCCTCCTAGACTTGAAACGCGGGTTCCGTGAGTGTTATGGCACCCTCACCATTAGACACTCTGAGAATGTATGTAGAGCATTAACGTTATGACAATGGATGGGAAGAATCGACTACAATATGACTATGAGCTCCCTTACTTTCTGAGACGTTCCTCCGCCTATGTTTCGGGTGCCAACGCCAGATTTTGTATTACATTTGCAGCCCAACTCTTAAATTTACCTTCCGGCCGTCTGCTATGAACTCTCCAATTGCAATGCGTGGCGTTGCTTTGCTGCGTTTGGAAACGACTGCAAAGTGTTTGAAATTATTCCTGAACAAAATGTCTTTTAGGTGAGTCCACTTCGAGTCAATAGTATGGCCGTTGATGTGCATAATCGTAATTTTTACCTTTTGGGCCGTCAGCGTTATACACCCATTTCAAACGTGCCAATTTACTTTCAATCGATGCAACTATCAGCAACACCATTTTAAGAAAGTGTTTGATATGGACAGACCATGCTGTCGGCCGATACGTAAAGAGCTGTGTTTTAAGCCTATCACCGGCCCTATTGGTAACTCTTGTTGCATCGTGTGCTGGTTGGGATAAGTACGCTTTTCTACGTGTCATGTGCGATCGTTGGACTTGATTTTTCAGGTAAAAATAGTTTTCATTGTATATACATTTAGCCGCATGCACACCGTGTTTCACGTTCGAAGGCTCGTGTAGGTAATGCGTAGGCCTTAAAGCGCGCTCTGGTTATGTGCCCTGGAGGCCGTGGTACCGCCCGTGAAAAGCTTCCCGGATCTAAAATATTTCAGATGCTGTTTGAACAGCTTTATAATGATGTCCACTTGTCGTTGCACCGATGGAAACTATGTTGGCACCTTTGAAATGGACAAATGATACTGGCGGCCGAAACGTAAAG